TCCCTTCGAAATCAGGAATAGGCCTAGGATCTATGCTACTGATATATACTCAGTATTGTACTCAAATTTCTAGGCAGTGTATTAAGGCCAGAAAAAAAATTTAAAAAGAGAGAGTAAGAATTAGAGAGATAGATAAAACTGTCATTATTCAGATAATATAATTATGTATTTAGAAAATGTAGAAATGTTTACAGGCAAATTTTTAGAATTAATGTGTGAAAACAATTATGTGGATTAAAAAGTTGGTTTCTCATGACAACAAATGATAGAAAAACAAATTGTAAAAAGTATCCAAAATAACTGTAAAGATATCAAATATCTAAGAACTTGTGTAACATTGTGTATGAAAGGTATTTATCAAAAGAAAAAAACATACAACATCATTGTACCAAATTAAAGACATAAACAAATGGAAAGAAATCGCAATTTCATGGTTTGGAAACCTTATATTTTAAATAATTTTTATTTCTATAATTAATTTGTACATTTCATACAACTTAACCAAAATTCCATCAGGTCTTTGCAGAACTTAAGAAGCTAATTCTAAAATTATTAAAAGAACCCTGAAGAAAACAGAATTGCTCTATTGAAAATTAGAAGTTGCTATAAGTAATTGTAACTAAGTCAATGTGATATTAGAAAAAATATTGATAAATAAATCAATGGAATAGAAGGGAAAGTCCAGGACAGACCTATGTATAGATGGATAATTGAATTATGACAAAGAAGGCATGGCAAAGTTTGAGAAAAACATCATCCTTTTAAGAACTTCTGTTCATCATAAGAACAAGAGATTTTAGATCAAGAGATCTAAACTATAAACACTATAATGGGAGAAAATACTAGAAAACTTACAACCAACAAAGAGCTAGTAACCAGAATATAAAGTAAGGAAAAGACAAACAACTTATGAAAAATGGGCAAGAGACTTGAACTGGCACTTATCAGAAGAGGATGTCTGAATGACAATCACAGGAAAAACTGTTCAACCTCACTAGTTATAAAGAAGAGTCAAATTCTAAAGTGAGATATTGCTCTGCATTCATTAGAATGTCGACTGTGAAAATTCTAATAAAATAAAACTTGTCAAGGATATGAAGAAGTAGCAAAGTATGTGTATTGCTGGTGTGGTAAAAATTGGTATAACCCACTTGGGAAACTGTTAGTTTTTACTGAAGCTGAACACACATATACCATGACCTCACAATGCTACTCTTATAAACACCTTCCATAAATGCATGCACATGTGCACCAAGAAATGAACAAAATGCACATTGCAGCAGTATTAATAATAGTCAAAGCTGGAAAGAGTCTGGATATTTATCTATAGTAGAATGAATGAATAAGTTGTGGTTTTGTCACATGATGGAAGGATTAAAGGAGTATGGCTTACTTGCAAAAGCATGGAAAAACATTGCAGATATAATGTTAAGGGAACCACATCAAGCACTAAAGAGTCAAATTTATGATTCCATTTATATCAAGGTCAAAATCAGAAAGCCTAATCTATTATATTTCCGGAGAGATACTTAGATTGGCTAACCATACGTAAAAAGAATTCGATTCCTGTGAAAATCTGGATTGGAGGGAGGATCAAGAGGGGAGTACTTGGAGGGCTATTACCCATTTCATCAACTGACATCAGTGTCCTTGTAATACGTCATTATACATTTTTGTTTGTGAACTTCTTTTCTCTATGTGTGTTACCTTTTCCAGGATAAAGGCTTAAGATATTTGGTTTGATGATCAGAAGAGAGAAGGAAACAAAGAAGATACAATTCCCTTGAGGGGTAGGAAGGATGTGGTTCCTGAAAAGACAGGAAAGGAAAGTGTGAAAGGGCAGAAAGGGCGCACCAATGGGGAGGGACCAGGACGCAAGCTGTTTCCTCTGCAGTTTGACAGGCTCAAGTCTTAAGGGACCACAGCCATCCATGGGAATGGTGGTGCTGCTTTTTGTTACTAACATATTTGCTTTATTGTTCCAAAAATCTTGTCAGTCTTGGGGAAGAAAATCTCCCTTTTGAATGTCCTTTTTATAGAAAAACACCTCTTTTCTTGGGTGTAGTAGGTACTTTTTATACTACGTAGTTCTTTATTTAGAATAATTTCTCATAAACTTCTTGGATATGAAAAATAGTTATTTTGTTGGCATACTTCAAAATGTGAATGAGCTTAATTCTAATATTCTAGGTATAGATCCTCAAGGTAATACTGGGAATAAATTCAATATTTGATGCTAATCTACAAAGCACACTCTTAGATTTTATTTTCAGAGGACTGATCCTTTCCTTTTTTGCCCTTGTAACTGTAGGGATGACCATTTCTATCAATGGATGTTAGAAGTGGAGCGTACAGTCTGCAAATTGATCCTCCCTGGATTTTCACTAAGTAAGAGAATGCCTGGAGAGGGAGACACAGTTGAGATCTCATTCCAACCGATGAATATTCTTTGCTGATGGGCAAAGTATTTTTACAAGCAAAACGAGAAATAGCAATTGACTGTTTTATAAAAATAATTAGAATAATAAAAATAATGATTGGGGAAAACAGAAAAGATATAGAATGTTGAAGTGGGGAGATTAATGTCTCTGTACTGACTGACATGCATGGCATTCCCTTTTGAAAAAACAATGTAATACACTGTAAAGTTATATGTAATCCAATGTAATATAAAGAAGATTATGATGATAATAAAAATAAAAAAATAAATAAATTAAAAAAAAAGAAACTAAGCTGGGAACTGGAGCAGGATATATTATTGGGATAGTATTTCCAAGTGATTCCAAAGATGTGCAGTTTTCATCTATCTTTTTCTTCAACAATAAAGACCCCAGAGCCTACTCCTCCCCTCTGTCTAGTTTCTGGGAGTGAGAAGGCTTAGCTATTGGTTCACCCTACCATTTGGGTACTGATACAATATCAATCTTAGAACTGCCTGCTTGCAAAAGTTTTGGATAAAATTGGGATTATGATGGTAATTAAAGTGTATTTCTTTCTTTGTTTTAGTTCAAATTATCTACAAGTACATACCTCAATTTCTACTTTCCTAGAAAGATTGCAATATCTCTATACTTTGTTTTTCCCTTTCTTTTCTTTTCTTTTTTTTTGGGGGGGGGGAGAGGTTTTTGCTATAGGGCGCGTGCACTCGCCAGGAAGACAGAGACCGAGAGACAGAAATTGAGAAATCACCCCCTGGGGGGGATGGTCATGCTGCAATCCCTTCTTTCCATTCTCTCAGAATCTTGGACACACACGCACATGCGTCCAGCATGAGTTTAAGCCACCAGGTCCAGGACTCCAACCGTGGTTGACTATGTGCGAGTCCAGTGACACAGCCATTAAGCCAACTGCTGGTCCCACAATATCTGTATACTTTTACACTAAAAGCATTTAAAAACCCACATATAGAATCTAGACCATGATTCAGGGAATTGGATGTGTATGAGGGCTTTGCCTGGCACACAGTATCAACAAACGTTACCTAGAGGGACTGGCAGGTGGCATTGTGGTTAATGTACTAGACTCCCACGTGGCTGATCCCACATGGTTGACAGCAATTTGAAACCTGGACCTGGAGCTTGCTTTCTCAATTTTTCCACTCTCTCTGATAAAATTAAAATAATAATAATAACAAAAATAATTGTTACCTATCACCATGATTAATATAATCAACCTTCTCTCATGAGAACTACGTTTTTGTCCTGGCTTGGACATGGCATTGTATAGAACATTTCAGAGACCACACCCTCCGCGAGACCCAAGTCATTCCTGCCCTTTTCTGGGCCTTAATTTTGATATTAAGAAAATGAAGTACTTGTATTACCGAAACTCTTTGAAAGGTCTTCCGCCTTCCTGCAATACTTCAGGATTTCTCACAGGCCGTGAATTAGTGACCCTTGGGTATCACCAGTGGTTGGTGCCATGATGGAGGAAGATGGACAGAGAGGAGAGAGCGGGTAAAGTTTTCTTTTGTAGGCGATATTTACCTTTCTCTGAGCAGAGCTTATAAAGGTTAAGAAAAGCTGGGGAGACTGATGCCAGGGACAGATATTACCTAATTTGGTCAAAGAACAAAGAGTGTGTAAAACATTTGGAAATCCTCAACCGTTCATGAGGATAGGAACTCATAAGGGGAGAGCAGGAGCAAAGTATCACGAGAATTTCAGAGGAGGGCTGCTGCATCACGAAGACTGAGCATAGTGTAGGGACTCTTTCGAACAGTCTCCTTGTTGAGAAGGGCCTGGAATCTGGGCTGGACTCTTGATGGCACCAGTTACTAATGCTATGTTGTGCAAGGAACTTGGCGGTGGCTCTGAGCCCCAGTTTCCTTATCTGTGAATGAGGCAGACATCTAATTTGTAGAGCTTTTGTGATGAACGACTAGGACAAGGGAGAGTGGGGGCTCATTAAATGAAAGCTGCTCTCATTAAAAGGACATTAATGATCTTTAAATTCCAGATACCTCACATTTACCCATGCTTTACTGAAAATTCCCAAAATCTCAGCAATTTTCTATAATGACTGTGCTCCCCGCTCTCTCATTCTCCCCTCTCCTCCACCTCCACCTTTGGCTGCGGAGTGCGTGGAAAAAGAGGAAAGTGGGGAAGAACTGGGGCACACCTAGCCGGTGGACCCCCGCTTCCTGGCACGGTGGGGCCTGTCATGGCGGCCCAGCGACAGCTTAGGTGATCTCAGATCGCAGAGCCGACAGAACGGAAAGGTCTGAGGGTCAGCGCTGCCCAGACCTATGCCCCGCCTGTGGTCAGCCGGGCAAACCTAGAGGGAGCACGGGCTCAGCTCAGTCCCTGCTTCCAGCGACGCGGGGCCCGCCCTGACCCTGGGCTCAGCCTCGCGCTGGGGCGCCCACCTGGGCAGGCGGCGGGCCGGGCCTCAGGAGCCGGCAGCCC